AAACATTAGACCTTCTACATTTATTTTGCTTATTGTTAATATTAGTGTTGCTGCTGATGCTTTAAATAAAATGTTTTTTTTATTGTTGTAATATGAAGATTAAATTTAACATGAAAGACTGCTAATTTTCAACACTTTTTTTTAAGATGACTGAAAGGAGGAAAAACCAAAGTGAAGCATGGACTTACTTCACTCAGTCATTTATTTACATTATAACAGTAAATAAATATCGGTTCTGCATATCAGCTATCGGGCACATAAACATGCAAATAATTGGTATCGGTTATAAAATATCAATATCGGTCGATCACTAATTATTTCATACACGACATAGTCGTGAGATGCAAGAAACATAGACATATGGCAAGAAATCTTTAGACGCGCCCATAACAACAAAAGACAATACTTTATTGAACCTTTTCTGATAAGAAGTGTGCGCTGCAAACGCGAGCATTTTTGACGATCGTTTCTGACCAGTCTGCTCGTTTTATCGCGTTTAACCACAGCTGTTGTCGTTTTTTTTGTCTGGCAGTGGCAGCAGATATGCTAGCGCAGTGACGTCGGCTGACCCTAGTTACCTGTGGTTGGCCTGGCCGTGCGTCACTCAGAAAACAACAGGCCAATCAGAAGAGAGGCTCATGAATATTAATTAGACAGGCCAAAATCGACCTGTTCTCAGCAGAGCTCCTGAGAGAGGAGCTGTAAAAATATATTGAGATGGTTTTTGGTACTTATACCGCAAATATATATTCTTAAGGACATCAAAACCTAAAATAAAACTCCAGAAAGGTGTAAAATATGTGACCTTTAAAGATTTTATTTATTTAAAAAAATTTATTTTTGGAGGCCTGGAAATGTGTTAAATTCAGCATCTATTTGCATTTGTTTGCATTTGCATTTGTTTCCAAAATTCATCAGGATGAGGACATGATGAATACTATGAATTGTATCACAACATCATGTCTCGGAAAAACCTTTTTAGAAAATAATTGTCACTAGTCATGCAGTTCAGTTCCCTTTCAGTCAGTCACTCCGAGTCACGTCGGTGACCGACGAATTGGGGATCTCGCTTCGAGAGACCAATCTACTTTGAGTGTAACTAAACGAGCCAATGCACATTGGCATGCAATTATTGCATCCAGCTGCCGCTGATCACAGAGTGAGCATAAAAAGGCAGCCGGTGCATTGCATACCAGCTTTTTGCTTCGGAGCCGA